GGATTAACCAGGACTTTGGAAGGGCCTAGACATGAAGCAAGGATAGAGAGAAAAGGAGAGCCAGTCCCAACAAAGAATTTAGGTTATGAAATCTATTTATTCTTTCAGTAACTGTACTGGGTGGTTTTATGTGTCAACTTGACACAAGCTTAGAGTCATCAGAGGAAGGAGCCTCAGCTGAGGAAATACCTCCTCAAGACCCAGCTGTAAGGCATTTTCTTATTGAGTGATCAATGGAGGAGGGCCCAGCCCATGGTGGGTGGTACCATCCCTGGGCTGTCTGTTAGTCCTGGGTTCTGTAAGAAAACAAGCTGAGCAAGCCATGAGAAGCAAGCTAGTAAGCAGCTCCCCTCCACGGCCTCTGCATCAGCTCCTGCCTCCTGGATCCTGCCCTGTTTGTCTTCCTGTCCTGACTTCCTTCAGTGATGAACAGCAATGCTGAAGTGTAAGCCAAATAAACCCTTTCCTCCTCAACTTGCCTTTTGGTCATGGTGTTTTGTCTCAGCAACAGAAACCCTAACTAAGACGATAACTCTCCCAAAAAGCCTACCCAGGGAAAGCTCTGTTGGAGATGTGATAGAGAGCCAGAGACACAGTACCTACCCTCAAGTGCAGCAGCCACTCAGCCCCTGATGTTAATGTCAACTCCACCATTTCTGTCCGTCCCCCAAATAATCAGCAAACTGTACACTCCCTGCTCAATTCTTGGTAGCAAAGCTCAAGGGCAGAGATACTGTCTCATTTCCAGGCTAGAATGAAACACAGCCTTCTCCCAGGAGGCCAGATGTGTGGCATCCATACCCAGTCAGGGTGTGCTGCCTACCCAGCACCCACTTCTTCCTCCTTCCGGCAAGAGTACTCTGATGTGCTTTCAGACAATGACCTCTCCTCCTACTGTGGATAGTTGTAATGGAACTGACAGTCAAATGTTTTCCCCTGAATTGAAAGCTAGGAGCAAAATATCTCATCTGGGCCAACAAGACTCGGGAGTCGAATCCTAAAAGGAACACAAGAATAGAATCAATGGTGAAATGAATGAGCCCAGTGGTTGCCTCCTGGATCCCGGGTGTCCTGCCAATGTAAGAGTTCTCAGCAGGTCTTCCGGTCACGAGTTCTTCCATATCCCTCCAAGACTCTCTTCGAGCTTACCTTAGCTAAGGTTCTTCTTAAACAGAGAGCCTATATGACCACAAAGTCTCAATCTCCTCTCCAGGAATGGGTCCAGGCACCTCCAGGAGAGAACCAGGCCCTGGCTCGGATGCATTACATCCTCAGAGCTGGGTTACTACTTCTTTATCAAGACAAGTACAGCCCAAAGCCACAGGCTCCCTTATGCCAATAGTGATTGTCCTTAATTAACAAGGACCCACTGTGTCCATGCCAGCCCTTGGGGAAAGGCCAGCACACCGAGGAGAAATCAGATTCATCTGGGTCAGGTGAAGGCTTCCAAGGAGCCCTACTATTCTGCCAAAGCGATCCTCATGTCCTGTACCTAAATTCAATTCTGTACTCCATGAGGTCTGTGTGGTCCCATGACATAGCAAGGCTTTCTTCTCCCTAGTACGCTGACATCTGCACTGACCCCAGGGGAATTTCTCAGAGAGCAACTAAATTGACACCTTCAATTAACTCCCAGAGGCTCTTGCTTGTCTTCAGTCTGTACCAGCCTTTACTCAAACCACCCCAAGTATGAGGCTCATTAATCTGTAACCACACACTGTAGACAGGGGGCTGTTCTGTTGTTTTGAAAAGATACATTCTGAGTGCATTCCTCCCATTATTCCAATCTCTTTTACCTTGTATCAGAGGACTATGACTTTTTACATGAACAACAAAATCTTTTAATGCTCTTGGGAGACCAGGTCCTTAGCTCTCTCCTAAAGCAGGCCAAAATCTCTACTCAATTCAAAAGACAAATGACAAGGCTGGAGATCCAGGTCAGTGGATAGAGTGCTTTCCTGGCTTGCGCAAAACCCTGCGTTTGGTCCCTAGTATTGCACAAACCAGGCCGGGTTGGTACATGCCTATAATCCAAGCATTTAGGAGACAGAAAAGAAGGATCAGAAGTTCAAGGCCATCCTCAGCTACCCAGTGGGACCAATATGAGTCTACAGGAGATCTTGTCTCAGAAACCAACCAACTAAAACACAAAACAAACAAAAATCCCACAAACTACCTCCATTTTATTTGGTGTGCCTTTACTGTTCCTGAACAGTCTTGAATGTGGAATGACAATTCCCGACCATGGAAAAAAAAGCACGTGACAAAATGTTGGTCACAAAGCACAGACCAGGGTTCCAATGGAACACATGGGATGGCATTAAATTTTCCTGTAGGTCTCAGTCTCTCCTTGATGACATACTGCTTAAGCTGGGCCCTGAAGGATGGACGACACAGAATCAGAACTGCTTCTCCCTCACCTGGACCTACAGAGCTGTCCCCTTGCCAGCAAGAGATTATGTTGTAAAAATGCTCGTTTTTAAATTTTGATGGGTTTGGAGTTCATGATGCCTTTTTCCACAGAAAAAGATGTGTGCAAATGATAACTGAGTATGGGTGCCAGTCATCCAGCACCTAGTTATTGACAATGTACAGCACCAACACTGCCTGTAAATACAGTCTACCGGGCCTCTTCCTACCTGTAAAGTACCCTGAGCCCAAGTGCCAGTAGAAACCATTTAGCATAGCAATCCTCTTCCTCGTTAAGTCCTAGCAGTTCTGTAGTTTCTCTCAACCCAGTCATTGTGGTCCCCTGCCCCCGCCCCCACCTCCATCCCAGTACCTTGGGTCAGAGCAAGCCTTATCATAAACTGCACCATAGCCACCAACACAAAACTCTGGCTAGTTTGTCTTTTGCTTCTTGCCCTGTCCTTCTCTCCTAACTCCCTCCACTGAATTTGGTCCCCATCTCCCTTCTCAGCCTTTCCCCAGCCGCACTGTACCTGTTTTCTGCAGGTCCAGCCATAAAAAAGCCCTCTCAGCTCCAAGATTGCTCTTGTGTGAGTTGTACTATACTTGTTAGTATATGTGCACTTGTGCACACAGCTGTGCACATGTGTGTGGAGGCCAGAGGTGGACATCAGGTGTCTTTCCTCGATCACACTCCACCTTCGTCTTTTGAGAAAGGGTTTCTCATGGAACCTGGAGCACAATTCAGGTCCATGAGCTTCAAGGATGCACTTACTCCATATCCCCATGCGGAGACGGGATTACAGGCACAAGCTGCTACACCTAGCTGTCAGATTTCTGAATTATCTTACCTTTGTTGCTACTCTGGCTAGTCCTCTCCCCAGAACAAACGGCTTCTCTCTAGCTTAGCCTACAACTGCCTACCAATTCCTCAGGTCCTCAACACCAGACTCCTCTTGCCTACCATTTCCATTCTGGAGGCTTGCTGAACTGTAACTGTGTTTGCTTCCATAACAAATATGAGATCACCTACAGCGGGCCAAGTACAGTGCCTCAGTAGAAAGCACAGGTACTGAAGGCAGACAGTGTTCTGCAAGCATCCGCTTTGGTCTCAATAAAAAACAGCATGAAGTTAGGGTCTTGTCTTTGGCACTTAGCTGCATAACTTACTTTGAGTCTTTCCTTATCTGGAAAAAAAAAACAAAAAACTTCAAAATTTGGTTTACAAAATGATGAGTGCAGGAAAAAGCCAAATGGAAACCTACTACTTTGTTAGTTGAGTAAAAAAATCTGCGAGATGCCAGGCAGTGGTGGCGCACGCCTTTAACCCCAGCACTCAGGGGGGCAGAGCCAAGTGGATCTGGTGTGAGTTCAAGGCCAGCCTGGTCTACAGGGTGAGCTCCAGGATAGGCACCAAAACTACATAAAGAAACCCTGTCTTGAAAAAAAAAAAATCTGAGAGTTATGAGGGTGATAAGCCTGTGAGGCTGAATAATGCTGAAACTAACAAGCCAGGCGTTATTAAACTCAAACCCTAGTGCCCAGTATGGGATACCTCCTTATGAGCTATTGATCAGAGGCTCCAGAAGTTTTCAGAACAATATAAGTCCTTGAAATTCCCCTTGGCTGCCCTCCAGAACTAGTTGTTAAGACTTTATGGCTGAAGACACCATATACATTGGGTATAAGAGACAGAGAAATCAAACTGGATTTGAGCTGGATGTTTCCTCCTGGACAGCTAGCTTTCATAGGACCTAAAGATGCAATGTAATGTGATGAGAGAGTGGCCTTACCCAGCTAAAAACCCTACAAACTACAATACCAACATGCAAAGCAAGATATTCCCACTAGTGCGATTATGGTACAACTGTTATGGGGGCAACCAAGCACTCTGATTGGTTTTGAGGTCCATTCCACAAAAAGAAACCCATGCCTGGCACTATAAACAGTTAAAAACTCATGGCTGAAGCCTTAGGTCCTAGTGGAAACTTACTATTATTGTTTAGCTAAACTGACACAGTATCAAGCTGCCCTCTAAGAAAGGTAGCAGATGAAGAAAGAATTGTTCAAGATACTAAGTTACAGTTGATGGCTTAGCTCTCAACAGGTCATCTCTACTACTCCCTCTAAAGTTGCAGGAACAATGCAGAAGGAACAGGAAGAATGTAAGAGCTGGAAGAAAGGGAGAGCTATGAAACTGTGTAGGTATGGCACAGCCATTTCAATCATGATCTCACAACAGCAGTGGCTGCCAGCAATGGGCCTGCACTAGACTGGGCTTGTCAACAGTCAATCATAGATCACAAAGGGGCCCATGAGACTCTACTTTCCCTGCTGAACTATGAGCTACTGATGCATTCTGGGGGCGAGTAGACATTGTCTTCAATTGTGTAACTACTGATGAGTTCACCATGCTCCAGTGAATAGTAGCAAACCTATAAACACACAAACAGTCCTGGTTACACTCTGTGTCACGAAACCCAACTCTATAAATGTGAGGAAGAGTCTTGTAGAGAGCTGGTAATAGATGTGAGAGGGATAAGAGAGGATGAGTGTGACAGTAATTAAAATGTACTATATAGACACATGTATGAAATTATCAAAAGAACACATTTAATGAAAGAAAAACGTTGGTTTAAACATTGGTTCCCAAAGCCAACTGAGTATCAGAATCACCAGGAACTTTAAAAATATGTAGGAAGAGAATGACACAAGATAATTACTCCCTACCCCCAATCCCAAATGAGTTTCATGTCAGAAAAAAAAGCCATGGAGTCCTAAAATATTCATAATGGATACACCTGAATGCAGACATTAGCATGTCAGGACAGATGGGAGAGAACAGAACCATGTGGAAGAAGGAAAACACCTGGGCAAGAGCCCTGGGCTTAAACCACACACCCAAGGAACCACAGGACACAGCATCACCCAATCCCAACCCAGAGTCACTCAGGAAAGCAAACAAATCAACTGCCAACAATCACGCTTGCCCAGGCCAGGCTTCCAAGATACTGCCAGTGAGAAGTCCAGAAGGATGTGTGCCTTTTCCCACGGGTTAGCAAGTTTCATTATCCAGTATTGCCACCACTGCAAATGTACAATGGCAAGGACCTCACACCACGGCAAGGAAGATGCCGGCAACTGCAACATCGCCTGCCATTGGTCCATTCCAAAGGGGGCTCAGAACATCGCGAGACTGGCAACGTCCTGTTGTTACAAATCAACAGGACCGTTCTTCTTCTTGCTCCATATCTGTCTATTGCGAGAAAGGAGGTGCATGGCTCGGCTTCTTCATGTTGCTATCTTGGAATAAATGCACTGCAAGGCCAGGAAGCCATACTCAAACTGTTCACCTTTAAGATAAAAAAACAAGCATGTGTGTTCTAGTCTGGGGCTCTTCCATAAGGAAGGTTTATATAATTCCAGAACTACAACACTCACGTCCATGGGTGAAAGCCTCAAACTTGAAGCACCCTGCTTCATTAAACAAAAACCCAAGCTAGAGGTGGTGGTATATGCCTAATCCCAGAACTTGGGAGGCTGAGGCAGGAGTATTCCAAGTTTAGACAGACAGACTGGGCTACATACCAAGACCCAATCAATACATACATAACACACACACACACACACACACAAATCACTCTCACATACATTCACTTTTTCTCACAAATTCACACATACCCTTTCTTACACATTCACACATACTCATACTCTCACACATATATACACACTTGCACACACATACACACTTTCTCTCATATACACACTCACACTCTCACTTTCTCTCTCTCATACACATACACACACACACACACACACACACACACACACACAAAGGAAAACTCAGCACTAATTCTTCCAGGAGTTCCAACATTCTCTAATATATGAACAACCATATACAAAAAGGCTTGCTGTGTCCTGCTAATCAAAAACTACTGGAGATCACAGAAAACTGATCCAGTGAAGACAATAACATAAGTTACATTGTATAACACAGCACAGCAGAGGTATGGAAACTTAACATAGACAGCCTTCAAGTTGCACATTTTAATTTACAATATTTACCAGTAAAAAGGATTAGTTACAAAAAGGAAAGCTGTCTGTACAAAATAAGGTTTTTTCACATTCATAAAGAGAACCCACTGTGATGTCTTACCTTGTGAAGTCAAAACTGAAACAGCTTGCTTTGGTAAAACTATCCCGGAAGGACTGGTAATCCAGGCAAGATAATAAAATTATCAGCTTCCTAACCATGTTCAAGAGAAACAATTTAGTGAACATTGCGCCTTGAACAGAAGTTCTACATACTTGCAGACCCTTAGAAAAAGCGCTCTCAGGAACCAGCCTGGTGGGAGAGTATAGAGTCTCTTGCTCTCTCCCTGGCAGAGTTCTTTTCGCGTTCGAGCCTCCACCTTGCCCAGGGAGCGCATGTGCAATGCCATAGGAAGAGTGGCCTCTGGAATTTTACAAAAACACCTTTTATCACAGCCTCAGGTCAGCAGGAGAACCAGAGTTTAGGGTCAGCCTCTCTCCACCCAATAGTTTATCATATACATTAAATATGGAGAGGTACACAAACTTTCAGACTCCCACTTCCTAATACAACACACATCACAGTTGAGCAGAGAAAGACAAGTCATACTGTTAGGGCACATTTCCTGAAAGGAACCAAAGTACTGGAAACCTGTGACAACATTCAAAGTACAGCGGCCACACCACACTGCTCCCAGCAGTCTGGTTTCAGAATCAAAACATAAAGTAACTATATAAAGCACTGTAGCCTTCAGAAAACTTTATTTAGTGATGAGCCGAGCTCGGCTGGCAAAAGCCCACCTATAAAAAGGGAGTAGGTCTGATTCACAAAGTGTATACATGCATGACCCAAGATAATAAAGATGAATAATTCTAAAGCTATTGGAACCTCTAATTATGTGTGCCTTACTCAGGTCTGCTTCTGTTAGCCTTAAAGACTGACTGACACACATCCAAAGAGCTGTACTTCCCTCACCAGGAACCAAAACACTTGACCAAAAAGTTAAGGGACAGAAAACAATGAAAGAAAAATTTAAAGAGTCTGAAGCTCTCTCCTCCACTGACTCAATCAACGCCCACCCACAATGAGGAGGAAACGGAATCGGTGCCCCGAAGTTTGCCTCCAGGACATGTCTGGCCAGTGTGATCTGGAAGCTCCTAACACAACACAGCACAGCACAACTGCTCAGGGTACACAAAGCTAGTACACCCCATGAAGAAACACAGACAGCATGTTTAAACCCATTCTCTATGTTAGAAGCACTCCACTATGGTTTTGATCACTTGGCTTAGGGAGAGAAAAGTGCCTAGCAACAACTCCTAAACGTCACCACTCCCAGTCTGGGCCCTCACTGACTCAGTGGTGCTTCTGTATATAAATAACTGAGGCGGCGGCGGCGGCGGCGGTGGCAGCGGCGGCCAGTGGCTGCACTGCTGTCAGGCTGCTCCAGTCCCCACAGCTGAGAAAGCCCTTCAGCCGCTGCTCCACTCTTCTCCCTACTGTCACAGTCCTGCCAGTAACAGCCGAGAACGAGGTGGCAACAAGCTCTCTGTGACCAAGCTTTGGCAAAAGTCAATAAATCAGAGTTTGTCAAAGGCAAAACCATTTTGTGGACAACTCTAGCTGCAACTCTGGGGACATGTGTGTGAGAAAGAGGAAGGGATCCTTTCACAGGGCTTGGCTAACCAACCCCACTTGCCCAGCCCATTATTCAGATGGAAAGGGAGGAAGAAGACACCAGAAAAGGAGTTGGTTTTGAAATCTGCACAGCTGATATTTGTTCTTCAGAGCAGTAAGGACTTGAATGAACATCATGAAACTTGAAGAACACTTGTATTTTCCTTCAGGATTTAAAAATGTCGTCTTGTACGGAAAGACTACATTCAGCGTGGGTCAGGTCCAAGAACGGCAGCAAGAACTTGGCCATTAAGCGTGCCCAGCACTGGGAGGAAACTGTCATCTGCTTAGCATGGCTGGTGAGTAGGCCAGGGCTGCTCCTCACTGGTCTCCAAGTCGGAAGCCCTGGCCCCAGTTGTGTCTCCCGCCTCCGCCATTCTGGTCAGCAGCTCGCCTCATGCTGGCTGGGGGCACACCAAAGCCTGACACCCCTCCTCTCCTGCTGGGTAGCCAGCGGTACCTGGAGTAGAGAGAAGGAAAAAGACAGACAGAACAGAGTCACTTGTGCACCATCTCCGGCCACTTGGACCATCTCCCTCCCGGGTGTTCCAAAACATCTGTCACATGATGACAGAGGCCAGGGGTACTGTCTTACTTAGCTTTCCTTTTTAGCACCCAGTGCAATGCCCTGACCACAGATGGCAATTGCTTTTCACGTTTCTTAACTTCATCAAGCTTTCAGTTAAATTCACGCTCTCCAGATTTTTTTCACCGATTATAAAAGTAATTCATGCAGAGCAATATGGAAACAAAAAGATTACACACACAAGCCCAAAAGGCAGAAGAACCACCGATGGCTTCTTGGTGTGTAAGCATATGGGTCAGACTGGATCAAAGAATTCAAAATGAACTCACGTCACTTTCAGAGGACAAACCCACAGGCAGCATGTGTGGGCCCTGCACAGCATCTCCAAAGCTCTGGAGATGTCTGAGCCATGATGCTTTCTGTCTTAAAGCTGTGGTTTTATTTCTAGTTTACCCCTCATCTGTACATCAACTGTACCCTTCCCATCTCAGATAGTGCCAACGCCAAGGCCCCAAAAGGTCACATGATCTCTCACCTTACAAATTAATAAACCAGACATCACAGGACAGCTAACAAAACTTCAACCTATGTCTCTGTTCTCAGTAATATTTTCCAGCATTTTTCTTCATTGTCTGCGTTATTAGTAAATTGACAATGTGTTTGGACCTCTTTGAGTTATTGGGTTCTAAAGCTTAAACTGTTGCTGGAAGGCAGGAAGTATAAACTGATACCCTGGTTTTAAACCCTCTGCACCCAGAGTAAGTCATGACAAGTGACTATTCACATCAACACCCAACTTCATCAAGCTTACTTACACCTTACAGGAAAGCAGCTTACTGTTCAAAGAGTTCCTGTGTTATGTCATATTTAGAAATTCACTGGACTGTCACAATAACCCTGTAAGGATATTAAACACATACACACACACACTTCCTTCCTTCCTTCCTTCCTTCCTTCCTTCCTTCCTCCCTCCCTCCCTCCCTCCCTCCCCCCCCCTCCCTTCTTTTCCTTTTTGGCTGTTCTGGGGGGTTGAATCTAAAACCTCAGGAGTGCTAGGCAAGCTCTCTACAACTGTGCTATGTTCATGGCCTCTTTTGTAAAATTTTGTTTGTTTGTTTGTTTGTAACAAGGTCTACTAAGTTGCCCAGGCTAGCCTTGAACTCCAGAACCTCTGGTCTCATCCTCTCAAGTATCTGAGATTACAGGCATGTGCCAGAGTTCCCAGCTATAAAATTTATTAAATCAAGAAAAAGGAGGCAAAAACTGAGTGAGGTTCTTCAGGAATAATAGTATTGAAACTCAGATCCCCTGACTCTAAGCTAATATCTATATATACGCCTTCATATGCACTGAAGCTTTTTGCTACAACAGTGAGTACTACTGTTGAAACATTCTTAATACCTTCACACTCCTTCCCAAAAAAAGAGAATGACCTCTTTTAAACAGAAAATTAACTGTTGGAAGAAATCTGTATAGAAGAAAAGATATAGCTGTTTTTTTTAAATGGAGTACAGAATATGGATTATCTTAGAATTCTATAAGTCAGTTCCTCTCTCTTAAACACACAGACACGGTTACACACGCCTATAATCCCAGCACTTGGGAGGCTGAGGCAGGATGACAAATCTCCAGCTATCAAGAAGTCCATAGCAAAACTCTGTCTTTAAAAAACTAATAAATAAAAGAAAATACAGTTTTATCATTAAATTGAAGTGTCATTTCCAGGTGCCAAATTGTCAACATCTATGACATCCTGCACACTATTCCTCTGAAGTCCACACTAGACCAGCCCTTGAGAAAGGCAGTAGGCTGTCTCACTCCACTGTGTACTCAAGACAATACCGAAGCCGGCTCCACTGCTTAAGCTGAGAGTGAAATTAAACGCCAGTAATTAGAATAAAAAGACACCCAATTATACATAATCAACAAAAATTTATGGTAATTCCAAAGCAGTTACTGCTTTTGCAAGGAGCTACATTTTGCCATCTGATCTTTATGCAAAATTGAACAGAAGGGCATCCACCAACAGAGAAAGCTCAAGCGGAAGGCAGGCTCCAGTGTGCTGCCTGCCGACTTTGCTGTTAGGATTTTCTACACTTTGTCCACTACTCAAAACTCTCAGCCGGGCGGTGGTGGCGCTAGCCGGGCGGTGGTGGCGCACGCCTTTAATCCCAGCACTCGGGAGGCAGAGCCAGGCGGATCTCTGTGAGTTCGAGGCCAGCCTGGACTACCAAGTGAGTTCCAGGAAAGGCGCAAAGCTACACAGAGAAACCCTGTCTCGAAAAACCAAAAAAAAAAAAAAAAAAAAAAAAAAACTCTCTATAAGCTGTTCAGTCAGAAAGCAGCCACTGAAGGTAAAGTCATGCTGGTGACTCCCAGAGCACAGCCTGTTTAAGCTATGCATCTGCCAAACCTCCTTGATAACCCAGCTCAGAGATCCAAACCTGGCCCTGCTGTGGCCTTCGGAGATTAGAAACAGATTGGTCATTTGTTTTCTCAGCCTGAAGGCAACCCAAAGGCAACGAGAGAAACAAATGTCTTCTTATTCTCTTTTAAAAACAAACAAGCCACTGAATTTTTCTGACTATTACAGTCTGCAATCAAATGTCTTCCACAAACATACCCTAACCTGCACAGAGCTGGTGGTGAAGACCACTCAGGTGTTACTGCCCCTCACCTACCACTTGGAAAAAAGACAGGCCGGGCGGTGGTGGCGCACGCCTTTAATCCCAGCACTCGGGAGGCAGAGCCAGGCGGATCTCTGTGAGTTCGAGGCCAGCCTGGTCTCCAAAGCGAGTTCCAGGAAAGGCGCAAAGCTACACAGAGAAACCCTGTCTCGAAAAACCAAAAAAAAAAAAAAAGAAAACCAAGGAAAAAAGACAGAACTGCATACATAAAAATAATGTCTTGATTCAATGGGGTTCAATTTTTTAACTCTTAAATGCCAGTAATTATTTCCTATCCCTGCACAAAATTAGGTGTCAGGCAGGCTGTGACACTCAGATGGTGATTAACTGGTCCCTCTTTAACAGCCTTCTGCTTCACTGACAGAACGGTCATGCTACTTACACACTGTTTGAGCATCTCATCCCAGCCACCATTCCTCGACATTAGGTACATGGCTTTAGTTAACTCAGACTCCAGCACTATGCCATTAATCCACAACCCACCACTTTGCCTTCAACAATGAGCCTTGCTTTATCCAGTCCTGTGAGACAGGGGCAGCCTCTCAACTCAGACTTAAGAAGCAAAGGTTGGAGGTTTTAATAAGTAACTTGACCAGTATCAAAGTAGTACACAAAGGGAATGGCATCGAACCCACAAAAGCTATTGTCCTTGGCCTCTTCTTAATTAATTCTAAAAGAAGAAAACAACAAAGCACATAGTTCCGAGGAGTTGGAACTGCTACACAAATCTGAAGTCCCTCTCTCATTTTAACTCTAAACAATCTACAAGATTTCTAGTCTATAATATTTTATAGATAAAAGTTTAAACCAGGCAGGGTGGTGGCACACCTGTAGTTCCAGCCCTTGGGAGACTGAGGCAGAGGGTGGAGTGTTTGAGGCTAGTCTGAACTATACAGCAGGAACCCTATCCCTAAAACAAAAATAAAAACAAATAAAAACACATTTTAGAAAACTGCAAATAATGGGCTAACTTACTCAACCATCATCATGGGTAAAACTGATGTTCCAAGAGAAATTGTGGTGTCATCCTTTATGATGCCTGCCTCTCAGCCTACTGTGTGGCACTCTACAGTACAATCAAGGACCTCAGCCTGCTCAGCACAGCTGATCTCTCTTTGCAATGGTTTAATCTAGTCAGTGATCCTTAACTAGAAGCTGTCATGAAAAAGACAGGGATGTGGCAGCAATCCCTGGTGTCCTGACCGTGGCCACAGTAAGAACTTTATTGGCTCACATTTCTTCTCCCTTAGGAAGGAAAGTAAGGTATCTCCTCACAAAACTCCAATCAGGATACTTAAAACCACAGAACAGCACAACATTCAATAAGAGGAGAAAAAACTTACAAAAACTGAGGCGTAGACAGAAAATTCCTTCCTCCCAAGTCCATTGGGTATCTGAACATCAGGAAGAAATAAAGATGTCCAACAAGGTTTCCAATGAGCTCATTGATCACCCTGCAAAGAGAGTCAAGTCAGTGCAAAGACATCCAGGCAAGACAGTGAGCTGCACCAAGTTGTAACTAAGAGCATGGGAAAGAGAGCCAGCCTTCACTGTACTCCATGAGAGTCCCTGGGAGTCAGTGACAGCTCCACAATGGGCCCTTTTACAGTGTGAGTGACAAATGTATTCTGAGGGAGAGGGAAATCAGGCCCGAAGAACTAATGAGGCCCACAGCTCTTCAAGACCAACAGCACCTCTGAAATCGCCTCCAAGCCCCCAGCCCATCCTCAAAATATTAACTTGTTCGAGCCTATTTCAGGAGCTGGGGAAGGCGCAAAGCCAGTTAGTTTCTGAATTCCTGAACCACACAATGTTTGTAAAAACAGACTGCCAAGAGAAGAGCCTGGGAAAAGAGAAAGATGGACAACAAATGACTGCCCTGGTTTCTGGAGCCGTGATTCACGTTTCTCTTGCATTCCTGACAGTAAGATGAGACACAGAGAGCACCCAGGACAGTTGAGCTTTGCCCTGCATCCTAAACTAAGACTGACATCTCCAGGTTTCCCAGGACTCAGTCACCTCACGATCCACTGCTGCTATCACACGCCACTGTTCATCTTTACCCACAATGAGATCTTGCCTGAGCAAACCTGTAACTTCTCCACTCTGCCCTTGTGGGTTGGGGAGGGGAGAGGGGATTTAGCAGTCTTGAAATGTGCTATGATCTACATAGTCCTTTCTAGTCCATTCACTTCTCTCTGTAAATACACAGGAGGAGTAGTTACATTCACAGAGGGCAAATACATCAGCTATATGAAGGATTAGCACTTTAAAAATCTACTATCTTTTGAAAATATTTGGTAATGTAAGAAATGGGAGCTCTTAAAATATCTCTAGCCTGTGTTTTGTTTTTAAGAAGAACATTTTCATTCTTTTTTCTTTTGTTTTTTTTCAAGACAGGTATTTTTCTCTCTGTACCTCTGGCTTCCTGGAAATCACTATGTGGACAAGGCTGGCCTTGAACTCAGAGAGCCTGCCTCTGCCTCCCAAGTATTGGCATTAAAGGCATGCACCACCACACCAGGCAGAAGAAACTTTAAAACTTATTTGTAATTGTATGTGCATGCCTATGTATGTGTGCACATGGATATAAGTCCCCAAGCAGGCCAGAAATATCAGACACCCATGGAGCTAACGTTACAGGCAGTTGTGTGCTGCCTGACAAGGGTGCTGGGAACCAAACTTGGGTCCTCTGCAAGAGCAGTCAGTACCTGCTCTTGACCACTGTGCTGTCCCTCCGGCCCAGGACAGTGAGTGCCATACAGACGGCCTCTCTGTGAACTTGGACTAGAACTATGAAAGGTTTTCCTACCTCTCAGTGCTAACTCCAGCAAGAGAGTAGAAATGTGACCCTGCCTGGCCAAAGTTCTATGCCATCAAACTGTGCACAAAACTACTTATCTGAGACTCTCCATTTCTATGGCAGTACGCCATTTTCAAGGCATTATGGAAGTGCCTTAAAAATACACAACAGAGTAATCTTATGGATAGGTTCCTAAGAGGAATCATGGCAAATTAGTTCTGTTATTTGCTCAGTATGAATATGAATACAGAAAGGCAGATGTATTAAAAAAAATATGTCTAGAAACACAATGTATCTAGTGACAAGCTAACAAAATGATAGCTATCCAATGTCAAAGGAGCTTAAAGTCCTGCTGTGCAACCAATTATAACCAAATATCTTTCAAAGGTTCTAACATAATCAACATTGAGATTCTTTAAAGTCTTTAAAAAACTAGGAAAGGAAGATAAAAATGAATTAAGTTTCCCAAGGATTGGTTTCCAGTTAAATAAATCTAAGAATACTTACGAGCCTCCAATGATATAGTTGAATCCAAGGATAACCCAAGGTAAGTAACAGGCCTAGGAAAGAGGACATGGATGTGAACAGCCATGTCTGAGGACACCATGGCACTATGGGAACTAAAAATGGGGAATAAAATACTAACTAGGGCTTTAAAGAAATCACTAGGTCACTACAAAATTTCTCAAATCTAACACCATCCCTATCATACTTACATCTTCCTATCTAAAACTATACTTATCTGTATACTTGTAACTGCATGGAAGGAGTCCTTTCAAATACAGTATATACCCTGCTGAGTTAATATTAACAAAGAAATAAATAAGTGTCTACGGATGACACAGTAAAACCACCCCAAATTCTAAGACTCCAACCAGCAAATGGTCACAAATAATTAACTTGAATTTTTATCTAACATTGTGTGTGGATGTCTTGAACTAACACTCTCCTAACAAGGCTTTAGCTTTCCAGATCTAACATTTGAGCCCTTGGGCAAACTTAAGACCTCATTCCAAAGGCTTAGTGAACTTCAAGGGAACTTCACAAACTAGTAAAAAGAAGGTTATACATAAATGGCTGTAAGGCTAACTGAGGTAAGTACAACAAAATCTCACAGACCAGACAAGTCTAACTCTAGGTAGGAGACAAGGATGTTCAGTTCTGTAATGAGTAGGACATTACAGACAGAGAACAGTAAGCTCGGGTAGCATTTGAGGGTGAGATTCTAGGTAAAGTATTTAGAACCTAAAAGAGAGTGTGCAGAAGGACAAAAAGATTAGAAATAGCAGGATTCCTTATGTTGTCTCTCTTGCAATTTCTCTTGGGTTCTCTCTCTCTATCTCTCTGACTAACACACACACACACACACACACACACACACACACACACACACACACACACACACACACACACAAGGTCACTGAAGGACATATCCTGAGGAGCCTCAAGGTCAGAGGGATTGGAAGCAGTATCAGCAAGGGATGCTGGGATGGCTAGAACAGGACTGAGGAGGGGGAGGAAGGTACCAGCCTATGCTATACTACTCTGCAGTGACCCCTTCTGGAAGTGTCAGATAGGTACACATTACAGCTTAGGGGGGATTACTACAAAGATAAAAATTAAGTTTTTGCTCCACCTAGGTAAAGTACCTTAAATCGTGTTCCAAACCAAAATGATACAATCAGGTCTCTGTTCAGCTGGGCCCAGACATAAAGTACTGACATGATCAGAGGAATCATCAGCAACTACAAAAAAAGTCAACATATGAACCTCTGCTCCAGGAGCACGCAACAAGGATTTAATATGAACTGTCTACATCACCTACTCTCCAAAAATCTGCAAATGAAACTAATGATTAGAATTATGAACTAATTGCATCATTTATCATACAATGAGTTCTATAAAAATCTATAATCAATATAATTATGTTTTTACATGAAGTCAGAAACATCAGTTCAAGCTGTTATTTGAAAATAAAGTTTTTCCTTAACCATATAATATTTTCAAGGAGTGCATAACCTCACACATGCCCAGAACATACTGAGTGCTCAAGCATTAGCCAGAAATAACCAGAAAAGTCAATGATTTATTTATTTATATAATGCCTACAAGAGCCTCAAAGGTTTAGCTAAGAGTATATTCAAAATAATAGCAGTTATCATTTTATATGTTCAATGTAATCTTAACTTCCAAAACATACAGAAGGGCAAATAGTTGAAAGACTTACCTGCATATCCATTGCTAAACCAGTAATCTTGGTTTGTAAAGTTAAAGATCATATGCAGAAAGTATTCAATAGATATCAAGGTTGATCTGATTATTTCCCTCCAGTAGAATTTCATTACACTGTTCCAAAGAAGAACATTTGTCTATCAATCAGATTACTTAAGATGAGGGAACACACAAAAGTTGTGGTAACTCTGCATAAATGTCCCATTAGCCTGTACACCCAGCAGAGCAGGAGACACAGAAATGAACAACCTCGGCACAACTTGGCCACCTGATATCTTCTTCTGGTGCCCTGCTACCGTTTTAGCATCTCTCCTTCAAGTACAGGATGGAGATGAGATGGCTGTGCATTTGAAACAAAGGATGATCCTGCTCACACACAGGGACTTACAGCATGAATAAGTCCATAACCTTTTTCCCCCTTGTATTCTCTTAAGGAGGGGGTGTATCCCATGCCCTATATTTTTCTGGCTCTTGGCCAACTATAAATGGCAGTCAGGTCCAACCGTTTGCTATCGACTGTGCCTCATAGAAAGATGGACTATGCCCACAATAGGGACCTTATGGAGGGACTAGATTATTATTTAGGACTCAAAAGATGGACAGCAATGAAGTCAGAAAATAAAGCTGGTTATAAATTAATTTTCTGGTAAGCACCACAGATTTCAAAAGCTGTCTGCAGCATGGACTGTACTTCAGCAACAAACTGTCATTCCAGAGAACACAGAGAACCAGGCTCAAGGAGACAGCAATAAAATTCAATTGAATAAGGAAAAATCCCAGAGGCAAGACTAAGAGGAGGCATCCCCAAAACCTACAATTTAACCTAGCTTTAAAAAAGAATCTGTTATTTTTCATTAACTACAGTTTTTTAAACTATATAAAAACTGATTTAAATATTTTTATCAAGTTATATTTCCCAAAACCTTAAAAGAGGGGGCGGAGGAGCTCATTTCTGGCCTAAAATAGCACTGAAGGATACCACGATGCAAATCCAGTTAAAGAGAAGCATGAATAAATAGTCTGCTGGCCTCCCATCAAAAGCTCCTAGAAACAAACACAAGGCAAACATCAGAGTTCAGAACTGTGGGAGAAAGTAGCATCTACGGAGAAAAATACTTTGAAAAATTATACTGAAAACATTTAAAAATCACTTCTTTAAAAAGTGAATTTTTTTCTGAAGTCTATACCATGGCAATAAAATTGAACCACAGGCACCTGACTACCGTCAATTTATGCTCTACTGACTGACTTCCAGAAAGCTACACACTCTGGCTGCCATGGGCTAAAACAGACCCAAGGGGGACAGTCAATTCCAGAAATACAAAGCTTCATCTCAGACACCAGTGAGGCCCTTTCACTTTCCTATGACCTGCTGGCTTTTCCTTCACAGTCCTAACATATCTGATGGGCACACTTTTGAGACTTGGTTAATTCCTGTCTCTCACTTACAGATGAAAGCTTGTCAGAAGCCTCGTCCATTCTGGCTACCACCGTTGTCCCTGCAGCGTGACTGTTAGAAGCCCATTATTATGACAGGGACATCAGCTGCTGCTGTTGTCACTATCAATACTAGACGGATGGACTACCACTTGTCCAGTCCTGAGCTGACGTTCTGAGTGGATTCGGCCTCTACTACAGGCCCTTACATTCTGCAACAAGGGAAAACAATGTGAAGAGGACTGGGCAAAGGAATGGCCAGACCTCTCCACATGTGATTTTCTCCATAAGGTGTCTGTGAGGTGCAAGGGACAGGTCTATGAGCCCTCACTTAAAAGGGAGAAAATCAAGTCACACGACCAAAGTCGAGGGAAGGGCTAGCGTTTTGTCATTCCATCACTGCTAAGAGTGCTTCATTCCAAGGGAGGAAAAGAAAAACAGTCCAGTGCTATAGTCTAGGGACAATTCCTAACGCCTTAGTCAGGCCATTTTAAGAGCAGCAGAGGGAAGATGGAAAAATGATTAGAAAGTCACTCTAGCTCACAAGCTATCTTCCCCCTCCACACTCCACTATGATTACAAGACACTTGTAGTCAATTCTTCAAACCCCTGAACAAGTATCAGAAAGACAGCAGGACGGATCTGAAGGAGAAAGAAAACAGAATGGCAGGTTTTGTAGTGTGCACCTATAATCCCAGTATTCAGGAAGCTGAGGACTGCAGGGCCCAAAGCCAGTCTGGGCCAGCCTGGGCCAGCCTGGGCTATATATAGAAAGGCCCTGTTCTCAAGACAAAAGATGGAAAAGGAGGGAAGGGTAAGGAGGAGGGGCCAGTTCACTCCCTCGAAGGCACGCTTCAACCACGGCGTTGAGGGTGCTTATGCGCTCAAGGCTCACTGTAATGAAGTACAGCTGAGATTCCAACAAGACTTCTGAATGTGAAGAAGAGCCATGCTTTGCTGGTGTGGTTCTGGCTCTGTGACTTCTAAGGATTCTTTAGATCAAGTACTTAAGATACTGTGATCACATAAACTGTAGTGCTGTATTGTTTGGTGTACAATTTAAGACAATTAATTGGTCTTAAATTGTAGTCTTTCAGTGCAAATCAAAAACCTCTTAAGCCAACACTGCTTCATTCTTTTTTGTTCTTTTGTTTTGCTTTTGTTTTTTGTTTTTTGTTTTTTCGAGACAGCGTTTCTCTGTGTAGCTTTGCGCCTTTCCTGGAACTCACTTGGTAGCCCAGGCTGGCCTCGAACTCACAGAGATCCGCCTGCCTCTGCCTCCCGAGTGCTGGGATTAAAGGCGTGCACCACCAACACCCGGCTGCTTTTGTTTTTTAAGACACGGTTTCTCTGTGTAACAGCCCTGGCTGTCCTAGAACCAGGCTATACTTGAACTCACAGAGATTCACTTGCCTCTGCCTCCTGAGTGCTAAGTGCTGGGATTAAAGGCATCTGCCACCACCCCGCCTGGCTAAGGTATTTTGTTTCTGGGTTGTTTTTTTTTTTTTTTTTTGGGGGGGGGGGCTTTTATTTATTTCTTTCCTTTGTTCATTTTTAACCCTTTGTAAGCATGTGATTCAGCAGTTTTTAGTGTATTTGTAACCATCCCAGTAGTTTAATTTCACAGTGTTTCATTACCAACCCTTTAGTGGACCCAAAGCAGTTGCTCTCCACTCCTAAGCCCCCATCCCCACACCCCAGCTTCTGGCTGTCACTCATCTACTTTGTGTGTGGACTTGCCTGTGTAGGCCATTTGTTAGGTCAGACTGTAACTGACTTCCTTCACTCGGTGTCAGCATCGTCAGTACTCGTGTTGTGTGTGTGTTGGTGTGACTCTCTGTTGACTGTCATCCGCCAACCACAGTTCTCTCCTAGCGTGTCTTGTTTTGTCTGTGTCGGTGCCCTTCCCTCAGTTATGTGAAGCAGAACGTCACGTGTGATCCCATTTCATTTGTCAGTAAACCTCTGATGTCAAGCCTTAAGGACTCACTTTGATAATAGAAGCTAGATCTGAACTGCGATGGTTATGTGACCACCTTCTGCTCTTGTTTCCTTAGGATCTTACATCCATTTACCCGCTTTATTAACCTGGTCAGGTAACGCAAACTGGTCTCTAATATTTTGTCTATGAGTACCTGGTAAGAGAAACCTGTGAGTTATTAGACTACTGGTTGCTTTTGTTTGCTTTTATTCTTAGAAGTGGCTTCCCTTTCTTTCGAGTCAGAGCATTTTTGAAATGCTCAAGCTGAGAGTCATTTTTGAAACAGTTTCTTTGAGATGAAAAGTTGCTCTCTGTATCTATAGGTTCTGTGTCCTGAGTCAACTGCCTGAAAAATTGAAAATGAGTCTACTGAATTGTACAGCTTTCTTCTCATTATTTCCCAAACAACATATTGTAGCAGCTATTTCATACAATTTACACTGTAAAAGGGACCATAAGTAATCTGATCTACTTTACAGTGTATGTCAGTGTGTAGTTTCTATGCAAATACTATCATTGTATCCAAGGATTGTGAACATTGGTAGGTTTTAGCATGCAAGGAAGCTCTTGGCTCCCAGCTTCCTCACTTGAGTGTCAAGTGCACAAGTCAGTTAGTATGTAGTAGAATTGTACGGCCATTATCATAATCAGTCTATACCATTTCTTTGCCCTGAGTATACCTGTTACTGTTGCCCATTTCCCTTCCATACAAGCCATAGGAAACTAGCAGTTTCCTTTCTGGCTCTTTAGATTTGCCTGTACTAGTGTTTCTTGTAGTGATTGTGATGGGATCATATCATGTATGGTCTTTCGTGACTGTTTTCTTCTACTCAGTGTCATATTTTGAAGGTTCTTCTGAATAGCATGTAGTTATAGTTTATTCCTCATTACTGTCAATTATATAGATAATGTTGCATTCTGTTCATCCAGTAAATTGATGGGCACTTGACTTCAGTTCCTTCTGTGGCCTCTATGACTAATGCTGCTGTGAACATTACTGTGGACAGGAATCTTTGATAATGTCCTATTTAACTCTCTGTTTTGTAGACGGGAAAACAGTTGTCCTGAGCAGTGATCCTATATCCCAAAAGTCACAGCTATTTGAGATAACACAGCTGCACTCCACACAGCTTTAAGTTAATAGACTACTTGCATATTTTCCTGCCTGGCTAAATTGTTAAGAATGAACCAGGCAGTGGTGGCACATGCCTTAATCCCAGCACTTGGGAGGCAGAGGCAGGCAGATGTATCTCTGAATTTGAGGCCAACCTGGTCTACAGAGCTAGTTCCAGGACAGCCACGGCTGTTACACAGTGAAACCTTGTCTCAAAAAACCAATGTGGCCGGGCGGTGGTGGTGCACACCTTTAATCCCAGCACTCGGGAGGCAGAGGCAGGTGGATCTCTGTGAATTCAAGGCCAGCCTGGGCTACCAAGTGAGTTCCAGGAAAGGTGCAAAGCTACACAGAGAAAGCCTGTCTCGAAAAACCAAAAAAAAAAAAAGAAAACCAAAAAAAAAACCAATGTGATGTGCGATGAATTCTTCTCAATAAGAAGATAAAGGTTCACTGAACTTTTTCTCTAATTTTGTATATGTTTGAATTTTTTCCATAATAAAAGCTTCACTTACTTGTCATCGATCCTCCACACTTGACCTTAAATTTATGATACTGGTATTTAAAATAAGAGCTGCTCCAACACCTTCATCACCCTCAGGTGAATCACAAGAGTGTGCTAAGCTAGCCGTACTCCTACAAGAACTGAACAAGGGGGAGTGAAAACCATAGGTTCGGGGGGACAGGAGGAGAGCCCTGGTATGGGGGTGAGGCCTGGCACACTGTGTGTGTGTGTGTACGTGTGTGTGTGTGTGTGTGTGGGGCGTGCAGATACATCAGTATACATGTAAGTAGAGGTCAGAGGATAACTTGCTGGGAGTCAGTTCTATCCTTCTACTGTGTGGCCTTCAGGGAATCAAACTCAGGCCGTCAGCCTTGGTGGCGAGCAGCTTTACCAGGCAAGCTACCTTACTGACCTCAGTCTTCTGTTTTTCTGCAAAGAAAGTCCGGGACTCCACCCTATGCTGTGTATTAAAACCGTGACTTCTTTTTAAAAGCCAGCAATGTCACCTTAAGGAAAAGTTGTATTTCACAGCACATGTCCATCCCACTCTGCCCTGCAGCTGTTAAGACCGCCATAATTTCCAAGTCTTGGGGAGATTCAAGGATGCTTCAGAAACCTGACCTAAGTAAGAGCCAGTGGTTTTATAAAATCTCCGAAGTCAGCCAACCTTTGCAAATCGTTTATACTCAACAAAAGTACATTTGTATTTTGAAAGAGTATCAATTCAGCTTCTTTGTATAAGCAACTCAAAACAGCATATAAAATATTGTAGGAAATATATAATTCAACAAGACACTTTTAAAACATTGTATTGTTTCTCGTTATATCATACAAGAAGTTATATTTGAAAAACTACCAGAGTACCAAATACTGACTACATGAAGTGTATGTGTAGTATATGCATGTGTGTACATGCAGGTACTCATGGTGCATGTGTGAAGGTCAAAGGTCAATAGTATCTTCTCTACTGTTCACCACCTTATTTTTTAAGCAAGGCACTGAAACTGGACTTAACAACTGACTCCACTAGGTGGCCAGAGAGCCCCCAGGATGCTTGGGTCTTAGTCTCCTCGCACTGAACTGCAGGTGCAGAGCCACACCCAGCTTATTTCCATAGCTCAAAGGAGCTGAAATCAAATCCTCAGTCTTGCACTTTACTCGCACCGAGCCGTCCTCTCCAACCCCTAGTTGGGTGCTTTAACCACTGAGAACGAGACTAGGCTCTGACCTGTTTGAAGTAGGCCTTTCACCCTAAGTCTAAGAGATGCTTACACTCTAGCCCAGCTTTACTCTAGCAGGACAATGCCTGGAATAAGTTTGAGAACTGTGGGAGCCCATTTTCAGGTTCCTTGTGGCTTTACCCAGCAGGTCCGCATAGAGGATGATTAGGACCACGGGCCTGAGTGCAGGTGTCTGGGATGGTCTGCACTTGGGTGTGCTGGGGGAGGAGGTCTTTTGCTCCACCCCTTGGCGTCTCTATAAAAACCCTGGGGCAGAGACAGTCAGGGCCGGTGGAATAGGTTCCAGGCTCTCTCAAAGTTATCCTGTATTTTCTGTTTATCTCCATAATCTAAATCCTTCTATCTAATATTTCCTGCTGCTCTCACTCAAGAAAATTCTGAAGAACTGTGGAGCTGGTGGGTAAACACCCTGCAGAGAACACAGCCCAGGCTTTCAGATGAGGAAGATATGTGAAGTTCTCATCTGCTGTTATTCCCTTCTATAACACTGCTACTTTACAACTCACTCTGCGACTAAAAACTCAGCCAGGCCGGGGGTGGTAGAGCACACCTTTAATCCCAGGACTCAAGAGGCAGAGCAGGTAGATCTCTGAGTTGGAGGCCATCTGGATCTAGCCAGGGATAAATAGTAAGACCCCATCTCCAAAGGGGGAAAAACAAAACAAAACACAAAATGCAGCCTAAGTGCCTAATACAGTCCTGACCAAGTGTGCACGTAAGAACCCATCATTATCCATTCCTTTATATAATGCTAATGACCCTCAAATGCAAGTAAACGTAGAATGAAACAATACTTCAAACAGTAATGGATAACTTACCTGCTTCAAGCCGTGTAGAATACTGATATAAGAAATATAAATTGACCAAATAAAGAAATCCAGTTCCTGGACCCACGGGGAAATAAAAGGTGGCAGTGAATGGCCTCCATATCTGAACAGATCGAAACAAACAGCTGTCAGTTTCTCTGAGCTAGAGTGAACATTTTTTTCCTTTTAACAAAACAAAATCTAACTATCTTTCAATGAGAGCTAAAGTGACATCATCAATACAATTTGTGAAAACAGAGCTCCCGCCAGCTTATATAACATCAATTCACAGATCAATGAAATAAAAGGACATCAAAAATGATCAATACACATTTTTAAACAAGTTAACAAAATCAAAACTATGTAAATGTATGGCTAGTCTTGCCTGAGATCAGGCTTACAGATAATCCTAAGGTAAAAGTATCACACTCAAATGCTAGAGGTTAGCAGGCCAATGTGCTAAATAGGCAATATAGACACACACGCGCGCACGCGCACACACACGCGAATCAACATGAAGGGGGAAGTCCTGATTTCAATCTCCAAATGTTATTTCCAGCAACAACTGACCGGTTTCCTTTTGGGGGCAATACTGTGAACTGAACCCAAGGCCTCATACATGATGGGTTAAGTGCTCTATCACTGAGATACATCTCAGCCCTCTTTTCACATTTTATTTTGAGAGAGGGACTCACTACATTGCCTAGGCTGGCTCTGACTATAGCAGATAGTTCTTCAACTTTCAATCCTCCTGCCTCTGCATCAAGAGTTGCCTGCACCACAAGGCCCAGCTTCTGTTTTTGATTTGTTGAGAAAGGGTGTCTCTGTGTAGCCCTGGCTCTCCTGGAACTCATAATGTAGACTAGGCTAACCTTAAACTCAGAGATCTGCCTGGCTCTGCTTCTCAAGTGCTGGGATCAAAGGCATGTGCCACCATACCTGGCCTTTGCTTTGCTTTTGAAACAGGGTCACAAAGCCCAGGCTATGCTGGAACACTCAATCTGCCTGTCTCAGCCTCCTGAGTGCTAAGATTCTAAGAGCACACTACCATGCACAGCCTATTTCCTTCTATGTTCTATCAGATTCTTCTTTCTTCACCATACTTTAAATTGCAGTTTTATATCTTCATTCCCTTGACAAAATATTTCTGTTGGCTTCACAGTCTTTCTTTATGTGGATATCCAAACTTCGTTTAAACTGTTATGATGCCATGATGAATATTTTTATATATCCTCTACAAACACACACACACACATACATACACACACACACACACACACACACACACACACACACACACACTCTTACAGAGAGAGAGTAAATGCCTGTGAATCAATCTGTTAGATCAACAGACATATGCACTTATTTTGGTAGATATTGCCAAATGTCTACAGAAATGTTTAATTAATTTATACCTCCTTCTAAAATGTAGATGAGTGCCATCTTTCTACACTTATTCACACAGAGAGTATTTTACAATCACAAACCTGAAAACTAATTTTTATTTGCTTTGAGAAAGCTGAGCATCTTTCTTTCTTTCTTTCTTTTTTTTTTCCAAGACTGGGTTTCTCTAAGTAACCGCCCTAGCTGTCCTGAAACTCACTCTGTAAACCAGGGTAACTTTGAACTCTCAGAGATCCGCCTGCCTCTGCCTCAGCTGAGCATCTTTCTATATTTTCTAACTCTATTTTCTTCCTATCTTTTCTATATTTTCAAAACATCCACTTCCCCGATAGACTGGCATTTCTTTATGTATTATGGAAGTGTCTTGTTACAGTCACTTCTCTTCTGTCAGTAGACTCATGCTGTTATGGTACTTGGCTATAGTTTACACAGCAGGATCTATCCTTGTCTTTAAATACCCTGACTTCTATAGGACTGTTGTTGTGAGATCAACATAAAAGTTTAATACACAGGCAAGTGCACCCATCACTACCATGCTTACAAATTTTTTCTAAGATTTTTTTCTAAGGATAGAAACATGTTCAATTTTAGTGCAACACCTTCACAGTTCATATAGAATGAGGAAAAGACACAACTTACTTTTCTAGATGGTCATTTAGCTTTCTGGTCTCCATTAAAGCAACTGTACTTTCTCCAATTGTACGAAAGGCTAATTCATTTTAAGGCCTACTTTTAGATTAGCTCATTTAGAATGCGTGCCTATGCTAAGTTATTTTAATTTCTGATTTAATAATCTATTTTTCATATCTAAGGAAATAGAACCTCCTTCCCCCTTTTCTTTCACAAATTCTTTTCTTGGCTAGGCTCACTACTATTCTAAAGTCAGGCAGACTCAACATCTTTTTGTTTGTTTTTTTGAGACAGGGTTTCTCTGTGTAATTTTGGTGCCTGTCCTGGATCTCGCTCTGTAGCCCAGGCTGGCCTCGAACTCACAGAGATCCGCCTGGCTCTGCCTCCCGAGTGCTGGGATTAAAGACGTGTGCTACCACCACTGGCCCAACATCTTTTTTATCAATGTGACACTGACATAGGCTTGCCTAACTTCTACAGTTTTCTCCAGAACTTTCTCTTTTTCCTTTCATAATCAACCATTAAAGCAGGTAGCATTTGAAAATTGAACCTCTTGGCCCTCCCAAGCACACAAGCCTATACACAAATCAAATTGTATATCTTCTTTCACTTTACCATTCACTGGCTCACTTCTCCAAAACATTACTAAACAACAACAATAATGAAGTGATGGCCTCCTAGACTTTGGTAAACAGCATAACGCTGACCTTTGGCTTACAAGCTATGTGTCTGAAGGCACACTATCATGTGCCAAGCACAAAAAGCATGACTGGATCAATCATGGGAAGACAGTCAAAATGAGCAAGAGCTGGCACGAGGAAGGGAGAATACACTCTTGGCACAAAGCCCCCAAGAACTGCAATCACACAATAAATAGAAGAGAGTTGCTGACGAGCCAGGGCTGCTAGAATGGAAGGTAAGAGTCAGAGACCTGCAAGACAGAGCTGCCAAGTCCATTCTCCATGGACAGAAATGCAACCCCCAGAGCTTAACGCTCTGTATGGAGTCAATGTGACCTCCCAAGAACCCGTACTAAAGCAGTGAGGCAACCAGTTCAATCATCTCCATTCACAGCTTGACAACAGAAACAGCACTGTCTCATAAAAATGGCACTGCAGAAGACATGGGAGGCCCTGAACACAAGCTGCTGTAAAGTTAGCATTTCTCAGCCTCAATTTCCAAGTATAAGGGGAGAATCATATACAGCCTCCAATTGCTTAATGACTTTTTGGTTACTGTGTTTTGTTAGGGAGTCCTGGAAGTGGAACCCAGGACCTGAATATGCTGGGCAAATGCTTTATCAACTAAGCTGTATACATCCTCAGACCTTGATTAGTAGCTTTTTTAAAAATTAATGAATTAGTACGCTACTTGGTATATTTACATGAAATGACTCAAAAGGTGAGTTTTATAGATGAGGAAACAGCGTGATAAAAAGTTACATAATAACTAATAACTAGTAGAGATAGAATTCTGTCCTAGCATGACTAGAATTTGTAAGACTAACCCCTCATCTTTACAATGCCTCTCAGAAGAGACATCAGTATTACAAATACAATTAATAAACATTTCCACTACTGCTATCCTTGTATGACCCAGAAAGAAACTAAGAGTAAACCTGTCCACGCCTCCCCCCCCCCCCCCCCCCCCCCCGCCAGCCCTGCCTTCAAAAAGTCCTGCAATACAGGGCAGAAGCAAGTGCCTAAGCCTTGGAGTCTTGTATGGCTAGACTTTGGAGCTGGCTTTCGTTGTTTACCTAGTGACATTTGTCCTGGAACACCTGCCCTCATCCTTTATCTCACAGGGCTGGAAAGGTTAGAATCAAGAAAGTAGATTGAAAATGTGCTGTTTAAAAAAAAAAAAGTAAAGAATATATGGAGGTGTGCTACTATTACAACCTTTCAAAAAACACCCACTGACCTGGTTTTTAAAAATTCACATTTCACCTACTGCCATATTCCTTTAAATTACTCAACGCCTGCTCTTAGAACAGAAACCTTGGGTTTTTTCCCTGACTACATTTTCTCTAACGCTGATGACACAACACTATTTTTAGCCACTGTGTGCACCTGTTCTTTAGAAATCAGTGTCTGTCAAAATACCTCACTTCTCTTCCCTGTTCATTAAGCTTACCCTTGAGTTATTCTTGCTTTCATTCATCTACGAGACTTATTATTTTTGTATTACTTTAAAATTATAATTTGAAATCACTAAGCACTGGGTCTTTTCAGAAGGCTACAGTGTTTACTTCTGCAATCCCAACAGCCCCTTCTCTCCTCTATCTGACATGTAAACAGGATAAGGAAACAGGCTTTACTTGCAGGCCACGAGTAGACGGGTACATTCTCAACTCTGGAAGGCCAAGGGAGCAGCCAGGCACAGCGCAGGAACCAAGACTGGCAGACAGAGCTGGGCGTCTCACTCCCACTGGGAGGACTTGGTGGAGGGAACTGTGCACCACCAGCATCCCAAGGCCAGACCCTTAACATACAGAGGGTTTTCTTGGCCCTGCTGGGGATGAGGTTCTTTGGGGGGAAGGTTGTGCTTTCTTTTTTTTTTTTTTTTTTTTTTTTTGAGACAGGGTCTTGCTATGTAATCCTGACTGGCCCTGGTACTCAACCTACCAGGTGTTCAAATTACAGTCTGTGTCACCATGCCCAGCTACAAATGTGTGTGTGTGTGTGTGTGTGTGTGTGTGTGTGTGTGTGTGTGTGTGTGTGTGTTCTTCAAGAGAAAAGCTAGGCCCTAACTAGAACTTAGGTAATCTGAGGAACCAGAGCTCCTCACAGAAGGATGACGTTAGCCTACACGTTCACTGCCTTATAAACCCTTCAAAAAGACCTGTTATTCTTTAGTTACTCTTCCAACAGTGTCCATCATTTAACTAAAACTTCTCAAATAACTTGCTAATGAGATAATTGCAAATGCCATCCAGAATCAAAGCGGAATAGTAAAGTGAAAATAAGATTTGTCTGAAACAAAAGGGTTATTTTGAAGTTAAGAATGTCAACATTGGGGGGGGGGGGCAGGGAAAGGGGATGAGGGCATGAGCTCAGTACCTAGAAGGCATGTAAAAAGCCAGGCACAGTG